TAGCAATCCTTAGTAGGTTTTATTTCTATTCTGTGAGAGTACTGGCTTCGTATTTCCATAGCCTGTAGTAGTTTTCACAAAATGCCTGCTTGATCCATAAAGTCATTGCATTGTGCAGGAGAATCTGTCCTGCTCCAGAGTGCTGTGTGGTAGAAAGCACTGGCTCCTGAACATCATATGGCAGCAGCAGAGAACCTGCCATGGGGTGGTCATGCACCTGCAAATTTATTTGAGCAGCAGCACAGTTTTCAGAAGTTCTGTTGTCATGTGTGAGCATGTGTCTGTGCAAGAGGTATCAAGGATATCTTAATCTGGAATGTCTGTTAGAGTAATAGGCCAAAGGTCTTTTAAAATCTGTTGATTCATGAAAAGTGTCATTTTTCCCTCAATAACGTGTTATTTAGATTGAAACAAAGCAGTTGCAGTGTATGTCACAGGTGTATAGAGAAAGGAGTGAATCGGAATGTTCCAGCTGGAAGAGAATTCAGAGGAAAATAGTAGATACAATATGGAAGCAGTGATTAACATAATGCTTCTTTATAAAATAGTTCCTTCTCTTTCAGCATATTTTAAATGGTCTCTACATAGTTGTATTTCCTCTTAAGCTGTCTTACATGATAACCATGTTATCTAATTCTCAAGAAGCGAGCATGTGAAATTAATGTAGTCATATGATGGTAGAAATCTTTCTAATTTTATGGACTTCTGATTTTTTTTTTTTTTTTAACACTTGATGACTGCTGTAAAAGGCAAAGAATTGACCCTTAAAGGCAGTAATTATGCTTTCTTAAACTTAGAAATATTGTAGAAATCTTTGTGTATGTGTCAATAAGTTAACTTAGAGCTTCTAAAATCCTTATGTTAGACTATGTATTCTTGATTTCCTAGGATCTCAGAGGTACAAACTCTATTATCCTTGTGAAGCCATCTGGTAGAATTTATACCAATGCACCACCTCAACTACCTTAAATGATGCATCTCTGGGTAGTAACTGATAGACGGTTATAACCTTAATTAAACAGTATCTCATGATTGGAAGAAGTCTGATTAGAGTCTCTACTCTTTCTGAACATTTAATGAATAAATCACATTACTTTGAAGGGTATTGGAAAGGATGTTTAATCATTGGTATTAGAATCATGTTGTCACACTGAGGACTGGAGAATTTGAAATGATGTTTTTGAAAGCTTAAACCTTTGCTTTATATATCTCAACACTTTTTTTTTTTTTTTTTTGTCCTGTTTGGACAGTGTGATTAAAATAATCTGTGGAATTACTTTAAGAAGTTATTTACAGTATGCTTAAGCTACGGAAGGGGATCTTTGAAAGGAGAGTGCACAAATTCAAACTCTGTAGGATATACTGAACTGTACTTTTATGTTATGGCCAGTATAAAATGTTTCCTCCTTCTGTCCTGGAATGCAAAATGAAAGATATGTTTTGAAAGAAAATGCATGAATTGAATATGAGATACCTAGAGGAAACTGCTGTTACAAGTGTATTTTGTGTGAAAATAATCTGATAGTGAGATATAAGGGTCAGGAACCTTTAGGAAAAAGAATGCAGTGATGTATCAAGGAAATTTTGAGCTGTTTGTTTTCTAATTTATAGTAGGACTTTGGAGAAAATAGTTTTCTTTTCACATGTACCTGTAATTCCTGCAAAACTAAATATCCAAAGTATGGGAAAATAAAACAATAAGAATTTCATGCTAATGATTACTTAAGGTATCATGGCCTGTAAGATTCATTTACTAGAAAAGAAGAGCTATGGCTTTTCATTGGCTCATCATTATACATGAAATCTAAAACCATTGTCGAAGAAGTAGGGAATATTAGATTACTTTCTGAGTGTTGGGGTTCAAAAATAATAAGTATAGCTTTTTTCCTTATTACCTGCTAAACAGCTTGAGTTGAGTTTTGAAAGAAAAATATACTTCGTTTCTTTATGAGTATATATCCCTCAAGGGTAATCCAGAATAAAAATGTCTGCAGAAATCTGATGAAAATTTGGGAGTCTAATTAATTCCCTATCCTGCAAGAATGCCTTTGTCAAGCTTGTCAGCATGGAAGCAGTACACAAGCTGGAAAACATTGATAAAACATGACAAAGAGCTTTTAGCGTGTTTGATGTGTCATTCAAGTGTAAACAAATGCTGCAGCATAAAGCAAGAATATATGACAAGCAGATGGGAAAACTGTGGAAATGCCTTCCCCAGAACAACAAAATAAGTAAAAAGACCATTTTAAACCTACCTTCCTTCTGCACTGTACCTGAGAATGCTGTGCAACACAACGCTTGCTTTTTGCTTCTGAATTAAGGCTCGTAAGCCATGAACAGTTACAACTTTCAACAACAATTTCTGTTTTGCAATTAATAAGAGCAAAGTCAGCAATTCTCTAATTAACTGTTCAGATAAATATTGGCACAGGTACAATGCACTGGAATTTGTTATCATGAATTGTATGAAGAAAAGGATGGGTGTGTTCTGACATGAAGGCAGTTGCTTCTAAAGTGCTTACTAAACTGAATTAATTTACTTCAGAATGCAAGGAATGAAAACATCTCTTCTGATGATATTTTTAGAAAGATTTCTGACAAGTACTGAACTGGCTCTTTTTTTTTTTTTTTTTTGTTAGTATCACTGACTTCTTTGTGATTCATTTTTCCTTTGGGGGGAAAAAAAAAATCCCTCGAATGAGAAGGAAAATAAGAGAAGGAAAATAAGATATATTCTTTTAATGTAGAAGGAACTGCACCACTGTGAAATTCTCTAATTGTTGACAAAATGTCTGTGTGCACTAATGGCCAATAATAACATGCATCTAAAGAAGAAGTTGTGATGTGCTGTAGTATTTTTCATCAGTTATATTGAAAGAGGAGGTGGATAGGATAAAAGTCTTAAATTCTAGCAAGTGTGAGCATTTCTTCTCTCATTTAATATCAAATTATTCTGTAAAGAGACAGATGCCCATGGATCATGCCTCCATATCTCTCTGACCACCCATCCTGTCTCCCATTGAAGTATGCATTAAGCTCATCTATTGTGAAATAAATCCTCACAAATCTCTCCAAAACAGACTTAAAGGTGTAATGGACTGAATTAAAATTGAGAGAAGCATATATATTTTTTAAATACTAGGTAAAAATACTTAATCCTGATGAAAGGTATTAATACCTTGCCTGAAGTAAAGGTAACTTTGAACTATAAATAATGTAATACATTTTAATCAGTTTTATTGCAACAATTTTGTCTGTGAAAGAAGTTATCTTTAAAGTTCCTTAAAGTAACTTGGAAGAAGGATATAATTCACTTCAATAGTACTGTAGAGGTAAATTCTCCTTAGTTTGGAATCTGAGCATGTTAGTAACTGCACACTTTGTTACTTCCTTTGTGAAAAAGCAACTAAAAAAGTAGTTACTTAAAGTGACAGCAAACAGAATTTTAGAGGAGCAGCATTTGTTGTTTAAAAAAAAAAAAAAAAAAAAGTTGTCTGAATATTTGCTCCAAAAGCTATGTGATTTACTCTATCAAAACCTCGTCTCAAGCAGAGAACCAGCACAGTGTTATGGAGCATTGAATCTTGTTGTCCTTGCTTATATTAGAAAGATGACACCTAACACGGTTTTATATTTTTTGATGTCTGATATGTAGATATGTACAAAAGTAATTCCTTCTATTATTTCCATGGAAACGATCACAGATAAAAAGAGCACAATAACACTGTTTAGCAGAACGAATTCTCAGCTACACCATGCTATTTTTCAACATAATCAACACAATCACCACCTTTTGCTATGTATCTTCACCAGTGAAGAACAAGAGCCTGCATGCTGTACTCAAAAAAGCTGCACCAATGTAGGTGACTCACTGTCATTACTGCTGAAATGCACCACACATCTCCTTTGGTCTCCTTAAACCTTAAGTGAGGATCGTGGAATATTATCACTGGATGCAAATTTTTCTGCATGGAGGAGTTCAGTGACATGCCTTTTCTTCATATGCCCTTCCATGTTAGATGCCATTTGATCAGGGGTGAGGGAGAACACAACAATGAGGACGCTTGTCTTTTCTAAAGTAGGGATGAATGGGACACATTCTTTATTACCCAGTTTCTCATGTAATGCTTTGCATTTTTGAAGCAGTGATGGAAAAATGTTAAATGTGTCCATACTTTGGAACGTATGATAGATTTGCACAGCTGCTTGACTTCATTTCACAGCATTAAATATGATTTAAAATAGTATTTTAAAATATTTTTCATCACAGAATGGTAGTATTTTATATCTGCTAGTATTCTAGAATAAATGTTGCCTAGTAGACTGCAGAAATAAGTTCAGTATAAATACTGTGAATGAAATCAGGGTGTAGCTGAGGAATGCAGATGGTATTGTTCTCAATTGCTTGCTCTTAACGCTGGAAGCCTGTATAAGTACTGCAGGCTCTGAAATTAATTTGATCTTTTGAAGAAAGAAGAGTTCTTACGTTGATAATCAGAATCAATTTTGAAGCTAACTTCAGACAATTTCCCTCATTTGGCAGAATTGAGAGAAATGAAATAGGAGACTGGAAGTTGCCACACTGTTAGTAGTTTTTTGGGAGTTTCTGAGTTATATTAATATTTAATGTATTAAAGCTAATCTTGTAATGATGTATATATTTAGAATTACATTGTGTGGGCATTTTTTGTTTGCTTTTTTGGTGTTTATTGTGAAAGTAAAGATTCTTAGCAGCGCAATACGTTACAGGAAAAATATGTTACAGAAATATTCTTTGGAGTAGGTGGTACAATCACAATGCTCATTTAATAATGCACATCAGATTTTTGGAAGTTCTGTGTTATACCATAAACTGCAGTGCTTTTTACAGTTAGTTAGTTTATTCTTTGAGTTGTTTGTATTCAAGAGCACTTTCCTCTTTTTATTATATACTTTTTAAGTATTAATAAATAGATAAATTCAAATTCTCCCAGCTTTATATGTTCCTCTTCTTGCTGTAGGTTTTGTTTTGTGCCCAGACCGAGCGTGGATTGATAACGTATGCTAGTAAGAATCGCTTGTGATGTAACACCAGTTCCTGAAGTCAGAGTGAGGTAAAAGCATCACGCATGTTGTGACACATTTTAGTGGGATTTTCTTCTCTCTGGTTGATGGGCTACTAGTAATGCAAGAGGCATGCAGACACGATGAAAGAAGCTGAAAAATGTTTAATAGCTTCAAGGTACTCAGGGAATTGGCTCGTCCCTTGAAGGTCACCTCTAGCTAGTCATAAAGACAAAAGCCTTCTTGGCCTGAAATCCCTGTGAGGAGAGGTTGGGTGTGACCATAGATTATCATCTTTGTATGCTGCTTTGTCATTCGGAGTAAAACTGTAGCTTCATTTGTAGCTGTGAATGTAAGTCTCTAAATGTAGACTATTGGGAAATTTTCCAGTGTTAGAGGAATTTTTCCTTTTAGGAACTTTGTTGTTTAAATGAGGTAGGCTATCATTGTGACAGAGTACTTTAATAGGAACAGTCTACTTGTAGTAGAGGGAGCAAGGGAGTAGAGTAAGAATGCTCTGTTATTTCTTCTTTTTCGGGGTATGTATGACAGTTGCAGCTATGATACTCTTTAATGTTGGGTTCTCGAGACTGCCTAAAAGTAGGCATCAGAGGAAAGTGGTAAGATTCATGTGGTCCTTAGATTTCTCTTAACCAGATGTTTTACGTGATGTCTAGGACAACCCTGCCTGTGGTAAAGCCAAGGATAAAGTGAATAGTTAGAAAAGTTGTACTTTTCACCAGCTGTGAAAAGGGTAAAGTGACACAAAGGGTGAGGTAAATGTTTAAAGTCTCAATCACAGAGAAATACTGTGACTCTTGAAAAAGACTATACCAATAATAGTAAACATAAAGGAAACCTACTTTCAGGTCAGTTGTTAGAACAGTTAGTATCACTGTTTGTGTTGTTGATAAAGATGTTGAAGAGCACCAATCCCAAGATGAACTTCTGGGGGACTTTGTGACCAGCCTCCACCTTGCCGTTGACAACAAGACTCTGAATATGACCATCTGATCAGTTCTTTATCCACAGAATAGTCCAGCCTTCAAATCCAAATCTCTCAAATTTAGAGATAAGGGTGTGGTGCTGTGATCATGTCAGACCTTGTTCAAGCTCCGGTAGACAACATTAGTTGCCTTTCCTTTGTTCACTGATGCTGTTACTCCATTGTAGAAAGCCACCAGATTGGTACGGCATGACCTGCCTGTGGTGAAGCCATGCTGACTGTTTCCACAACTTGTATGTGCCTTAACGTGTCTTCTAGGAGAATCTGCTCTGTGATCACCTCACCTGAAGTGAGGCTTACTGGCCTGTAGTTTCCCTTCAATTCATGTCATTTGGCCCTGTGGATTTGTCACGTTCAACCTTATGAGGAGTGCATGGACTTACTTTGCTCTTAGAGCAGAAGGGATTTTTCTTCCCTGATCCGCAACTCAGGATCACCAGTTCAGGGATATGAGATGTGAAGGAAGTAATTCTGCTGACTTTTCTTTCATTTGTATTTTAATGACAGCTTTTTACAATCATTTTAATATAAGCCCATCCCAAAATAGATACCTAGAATAGTTATTGTTATTGAAATTACTTCTCTAAGAGGGAGGATACAGTTTAACGTATCTACAACGCAGACTTCATAACACAGCAAATGCTGACTCTCCTATAAAATGCCAGGTAGTATCTATAATAAGCAGAATTTATTTAGGGACGATGAAAGGCAAATATTAACTTTGGCATATGAGGTCAAGAAGATGAGATACAACACAGCATACAAATGGTGAAACACTACTTTTCATTTATAGTATTCCAACCCTGAAAGGGGAAGGAACTCATTAGAAATTATTGAGCTTTTGTAAACTCTGTAACCTAAGTCAACTAAAGAATTTTTATTCCTTAGGAACATTTTTCAGACCAGATGTTACTGCTGATACAGTTCATTCCTCCCACTTAAGTGTTTGTAGCTCATAGTCTACTTGGATGTTGTTTCTCGTTATGTATTATTAGTGGTTCTGAGAAAAAGATAGATTCTCCTATTATTGCTTTATTTGTAGTCATTGTAATTCACACTGAACAAACTTACTGAATGATTGTGAAATAACATTACTGATTTTATAGAGGTATAAAACTGCCATAAAATATTTTCTTCTCGTAAGCAAGCTTATCTCTTGAAGTATTATAAAACATGAATTCTTACTTATCTTCTAGTAAAAACACTATGCTATCTGTTATACTAGAAATTCAAGACAGCAAAATCCTGTGTCAAACAATTTTATACAGAAAAGCCTTTGTAACAAAATGTTAGTGATTATTGCTTTCATTTGTAGTCAGTTCAGGTGCCATAATAATTCTGATGGAGTTCCACTTATTCAAAAAGAAAGGCTTTTTCACAGTTTATGCTAAAGACTTTATGGATAATTAATTGTAATAGACACCTTAAAACTGAAAGCACTTTATTTGTGCTATCATTGGCATTTGGGATAGTATATGAGTATTTGATATAGGATTTCTTTTTGTACGTTATGCTGGAAATTAAATGATGGCTAGCTTGCAAATAGATCAGATTAGCTACTACTCTTACTAAAGCAAGATATTTCCCACCATTATCCATTATGCCACTACTGTTTAATTGTGCAGTTGGACTACAAAACTGCTGAAATCAAAGCTTTCTATGAAATAATTGTTTAAATAAAGCATGTGTGTGCAGCACAGCTAATACCAAAATAAGTTATTTAATTGGAATTTACTCTAGAATTTTCTGTTTGAGATACAGCAGTATCGTGAAGTTTTTGTAAGGATTATATTTTTAATGTAGACAATAAAGTATTTGTTAAAATGGTTTGAGGATTCTGCATAGTTTTATCACTTTTAGTTTATCGTTCTGCATCCTTTGCACTTGCAATATTGAATTGGTTCCTCTTCTTTCTTTCCTTCCTGTGTCATAATCATGATGTATTTTTCCTTTTAGTACTTTTAGCCTGAAATGAATAAGTCTATAACACACTGACTTCAGATTAGAAGCAAAATCATTTGTTTTTCATTGTTAATCTAAACCAATTAATAAAATAATAATTAATAATCTATCCAATTAATAAAACTACTCAAGAACTAGGAATATTAGACCTGTTTTCATTATTTTAAAAGTGCAAGACAAAAAGCACTTCCACTTTTCTTCTTACTAAAGAAAACCAGCTCTGCCACATAGATTTCTAAGTTGGCTGCTGATGTTCTACTACTGTTTGTGGGGAGACCAAGTATTCTGCCATACGACCTATCATTGCATTTTTGAAGAGTGGAAAGATCTTTGCCTCTTTTTTTGTTTTGAAAGTGTTGTGGTTTTAATTTTGCAATATCTTGCTGATGATGTGCTGCAATCAGAGTTCACTCTAAAAACACTGTATTGGGAGTTAACAATCCATGAGAAAACCATGTAGGCAAACTTCACTAAATGAGTATTGTCTTAAATGCTGGACTGGAAATGAACAAATTGACTACAAAAAAGTTCTTTGACTTAGGTAATCAATCTTTCTCCCTCCTGTGTCTTTAGTCTATAGGCTGCACTTCTGATGGGTGATGGATGAAAGGGGAGCTGTGTAGGGAACAACTAGCAGGACAGCTGAAAGTACACTGACTTACATATGCTACCTTGTTGTATTTAGAAGATATTCTGCTTATGTCGTGAAGTGACTGCAGTGTGACTTAACAGTCTGGGCCATTTAGCCTGCCTACTTATCTGGCAAGTACTCAGTGTAATCTTCATCTGAACACTACAGATATTCCAGGGTAGGAAAGGAGAAGATAAAGATAGGAAAGGCGTTCTATTTTACTTTTTGATACACTCTTCTGAAAAACGATTTGAAAGTATTCTATGTGAAATGCCTTTTGTCAGTGATGTGTACGTAGCACATTGGTGGAGAACGGAAATGTCTGTGACAGGCTGAGAGGCTCTCAGAGCAAGAGCAATGCTGTACAGGCCAGGGGAGCCACAGAAGTGGTTATTTGAGCATGATCAAATAGCTTGAATAAGCCTTTGCTATGTAAGAGGGAAAGTGACACCTCTGAGAGACAGCAATCTCAAATTCTGAGTGAGCTTTTCCCTTGGGTGCAGAGAAGCAAGCAAACAATTGTCTCTTGATGAAACATCTAGCAGATATTAGATATTTTGAGCTATACTTTAGAAAAAGAATGCATGCACGCCTCAACTGTGTAGTTTGTTTAGCTGATTATGTCTGAAAATGTATGAAGTTTGCACAAAGAATGCTTTGCTTAGTATCCTGAAGCGGATGGGTTGTTAATGAGTCTTTAACATTTGATTTGACCTTTCAATGGGCAATCCATGTACATGCAGAATAGCATTCTAACAATCTGTATCCACTTCCATGTATTTATTTAAATGAATCTTATTTGTGATTATCTTAATTATTGGTCTTTTCAGTCACCTTTCTCCTTTGTCTTTTGATCAAACCGTATCTGTAGCAACATTTTTCTCTTCAGGAAGCTAAGTCACTGAAGCTTGAGAGGCTTGAGTCAGCCAATGAGTGACTGTGGGTTATGTGATTGCAGCTCACGCATAGCAGGAGAATTTGTTGTCTGGATGAACAGAAAACAGACTTCTGTGGTTATGTACCCTAGACTCTACAGTGCATATCTATTTTCTCAGAAGTTATACCACCTGGTTTTTATTTAGTGAACAAGAAAGATGAAACATACTCTGTCTACTTTTAGGTGCTGGCTTGAGATCAGAGTGAGCAATCCTTTCCAGACGTAGAAGTACTTCTGGGAAGCATAGCAGGTAGAAAGCGAAGGGAATTTAAGCTCATTTTTGATACACTCTTCTGAAAAAGGATTTGAAAGCATTCTATGTGAAAGGCCTTTTGTCAGTGATGTGTACGTGGCACATTACTGAAGAACGGAAATGTCTGAAGCTTCAGTGACAGGCTGAGAGGAGTTTAAGCTCATCCATGTTGAGATCAGTATAAGGAAACAGCTAAGATGTGGAGCATCTTCACAAGCCTATTCAGTTTTTACACCATCAGAGAATGCTGTTTTTGTGTTA